AGGATTAATTAAACTTGACTTCAAAAACATCCAGAAGTTATACCTCAACTTTGAACTCAAATCTCGCTCCGAATCCGATTTCCGGAGCGGGTAAAGGCCCGAATCCTGCGAAAACGGCCCGACGACGTGGGCGGATTGTGACGACGGAGTGGGGTGGTAATCTCATAACGGACCCTGCTTCGACCCCTTTTCAAATGCCATGCCGGCTCGATTCCCAAAAAAAGTCGCACTCGCTTTGTGTGCAGGGTGCGTGACAAGAGTAAATATATGTAAAAATTCCAAATCTTGGCCTTGAAAGCTGCAAAATATAAGGATATGACCGTGAATCCCGCAAGATAGAGCTATATGAGGGTGGAGACCTAAAGACCCTAACCGCCCAACCCCTACGGGTCTGTTTTTGACAACCGGATTTGTACTCGACACAGCAGCCAATGTGGCATGTCCCCGGAAGTGGGCAGATAATTGGCAAGCAGGGAGATTTGTGCTTGATCTCGATGAGGTGGATTGTTGGTCAGGGGAAAGGAAGGCAAAGGTGATCAATATCAATTGGAAAAATCTTCGAGTAGAGCGTAGACAACAAAGCTGCTGACACTCCCAATTTAAAGGGACTGGGAAGAGCGAGAATCAACCCCTCGTCAAATATGTGTCAACCGTTAAAGGGAACGTTCAGGGACGTTTTTTTTTTGGAAAAAAGCAAGGATTTTTGCCGCGGACGGGGGTCGAACCCGGGCCGCCCGCTCGGGAGGCGCGGATGGATACCAATCAGCCACAGCTACAACCTGGCGAGGGGCGAGGGGCGCCCCACGCCGCAAAGGAGGGGAATGGCCTGTCACAGCACGAGCAGGCCGTGCGCGCGGTCCCTACGTCCATAGGGTGTATACGTTGGGAAAAAGATTGAATCTCGAGATTTCCACTGTCTTTAAAAGGGAGGGCCTTTAAAAGGTAGAATCGCTGTGAATTAATAGAGATCTACTATACTACTATGTATTTCGAATACCGACCACCAGAGGATTTAAGCATATTACGTATTTGTCAACACCTAACCGAAACAACTGGTTGATTTTAGGCTTCCTGGTCCCTTAGAGAATCGAGTTTCAAAAACCCGAAAATCAAGAGGTCGGTGTGGGCTGTGACTTGGGCCCATGAATCAGAAGCGTCTACGGGGCTTCCCCCCGATGGCTGCGATGGATCCCCGGACCCTCCCATCTGTCAAATAGACAATTATCGGCCGTCTTCGCCCCCCAGCAATAGAGTGGCTCCGGATGCTTTTTTAGGCGGAAGGAAAAAACGACCGAGAGTCCTTGCCCGCCCCGCACATTCCATTATTGGTTCGTTATGCGTAGGGGCCTTGCAGGCTTAGAGTTTTTTGGCTTGGGCCTCTGAAATCTGCTGCACAGGGGGCATTATGAAAATCGTGGATTAGGGTGTGCGTGCAATGTACAAACGAAAAGGTCTTGGCATTGCATTTAAGGATTTTGCATTGGAGAGGCGGCGAGTGTGAAAATCGAGGCCCGCTGGGAAGCCGACTGCTAGATTCCGAGCCTAAGGGTTCTTGCCAGCGCTTATTAGCGTCAAGCCAAGCTGTCGAGACCCAGTCCATTAAATGGGTCGATTATTTAGCTTCCCGACCCCGTCAAAGAATCGTTCAAAATAGACAAAATCAGACGTACGCTCTGAACCCCTATCCCGCACCCAGCCCCTGCAACAACCCCCAACCCCACCACCCAGCATGCCTGACGCAGTAGCCGACCGCAGAACTCAAGCGGGAACCGAGGTAATAGCGGAAAAGCACGATCAACCCCCTTCTCCACCTCCGTGTGGCGACCCGAAATCGCCCGGAATTCCCCTCTACCCTCCTTCTCTACCATCGCCACCACCACCACCTAAAAATAGACCATAATCCTGGCCAGAAATAGGCCGCCGACGTCTCCCTACCGGGCTTCCCCTTTCAGGGAATGTGTTTCCGGAAATGGCCGACAAAAAATGGATAGGTATAGATAATCATAGGTACTCAAACGGATGGCAGCCTTGAGTCAGCGCACAGACCTCAAAGTTGAGGTACGGCCGCTCTACTTAAAGCGCACGTTCAGGGAGGGGCCTTATACTCTGTCAAACGTGTACACCCTATGGACGTGGGGACCGCACGCACTGCCTGCCCGTGCCGTGACAGGCAATTTCCCTTCTTTCCTGGGTGGGACGCCCCCCCCGCCCCCTCACCAGGTTGTAGCTGTGGCTGACTGGTATCCATCCGCGCCTCCCGAGCGGGGGCCCGGGTTCGACCCCCGGTCACGGCAAAACTCATTGCTTTTTTCCAAAAAAAAAACATCCCTGAACGTGCCCTTTAATGACAAATTGGGGTGTTTGATGCATTTGCATTACCTCGAAAAAGTCTATGAATGCTAAATATGTGTAAAATTAGGTGATAAACAATAGAAACAATAATTACAGTTCGAGCTGAGTTTCCACGAAACCTTCGCAAAATGTCCACAATTTTTCGCGGTTATTTGCAGTTCCAGAAATTCCATAATACACTATTTTCTCCATATCAAACTACACGAATCCTGAAGAACATGTAATATTCAAGTGTTCCACCCCACGAAGCTCCACAACCCCTACATCTTCCACTTTTTGCCGCTTCTCGGGCGGGGGATAAACGCGCGGCGCGAGTAAAAACGGTGACTTCCACACGTAATAATTGCCCTGTGATTATAAAGTGAAGAAAGTAATAGGGAGGACCACCCCGGGAGGCATGTGATCCGGTCTACAGCCGTGAAAAGGGAGGGGGAACGCCCAGCAAAAAAGGGGATGCAAAAAAGTTTAGCCTTTTCACTAATAACACAATAGCGGGATGCGGGGCTAAATTACGAGCGTCGTGAGGAGCTGGTCGGAGGACATGCCAATAATAAGGGGAGTTCATGTAAATTGGATGGAAACGTGGTAGAAGGAAAGATATTAAAAATTTGGAAAAAAACGCATATCTTTCTCTAGCTATCATTTTCTCTCTCTCCCTCCCTCTCTGCCTCTCTCTTTCTCTCTCTCACGCACTCTCTCTCTCTTTGTCTCTCTCTCTCCATCACTCTCCTTGCATGACACATCGTATTCCTCGCAAAGCACTAAATACACAGAAAGCTGTAAAATAGTCCGGATATAACAACAAGCACTCCGGGTCGTCCGGAAGTGCTTGGGGCATAACCCCTCCTCCTGGCAAATTGGTCTGATTTTGGATGCACATCCACTTTCCCTAGGTAATTGGCAGCACGAGAAAGAGGAAGGATACCCCGACGAGATGCTCGCGATGATATTTTCCGCGTGAGGCTGGTGTTTCCAAAGCGGTTCGGAATTCAGAATTTTAAAATTTTACGCTTTTTCTGGGGCTCCTTTCTATATGCAATATGCGTTGCAAATTTTACAACAATGAGCCTGCATCGCCCACAAAAGCGTTTCGCCTATTTTAGGCCGTGACTTCAAATAAATGCGCATCGAAAACGATATTCTGGCGTAAAAGGGGGTCCAAACAGCAGACAGTCACTTTACAATGTCGCGTCTGCCGTGGTTCGGCTTTCTTTTCGGGCTTACGGTAGCTGCGGAAAACTGTACGATCAAGGAACGCCATTTAGATGACGTACAACTGTCGGAAATAAATATACGTGAAATTTCAGGATCAAAGCTATATCATCTTGGCCGCACTTGCCGGCGGGGATTGTGAGAAAAGTAGGAACCCGTAGAGGCCCAGATCAATTATTTTTAGTTAACGCTTACAACGCCGAATTCATGGCGGTAAGCTGTTAAGCCTATATTTAAGATTATGTCTTATATTTTATTATTATATCTTATATTTCTATCTAAAAACTGGCCGGCATATTGAGCAGTCGATTTCTAGCAGCCCGACAAATTTTGGTGCGGCCCTGAGGGGCTGTCGGTACTAGAGGATGCCGCCAGATATGCTGCAAGTGTATGCGAGGAATCGATTGAAAGTAAGTTTTGTCAGCAAAATTACACGCATCATCATACGCGAATCGGTTTATGGCAACTGGATTGCAACGTAAGCGGTATAGAATTTGTATACCAGAGCGAATGAACCGCATCTGCTTCATCCACGACAAATGCTACGACTCAATACCTCGAACCGAGCTATCGAAGGAAAGGGGCCAGAAGTGCGACAAGCAGTAAATTCTTTAACAACGTTCGTTCCCAGCGTTTTTCCTTGAGCCTTATTGAAAAATTTTCCTTTTCGAGGTTTTGTTCTCTGATTGACAAAGCGGTCGCGGCATCAAGCAGTGGTGAACCTTGGGAGGATCTTGCCTGCATCGGCGCTGGCGCTGGATTTGGCTGGGCTGTGCAGGTACATTGGGAGTTTTAGAACGTTATCAAAGAGAAAACTCCTGCCCATATTTTGGCTAAACACGCTAAACGTTTCAGCAAAATTTTTACGACTGGTGGGTAAAATTGCAAGGCGAGAAGAAATACGTCAAACTTCCGTCGGTGGCCGATCGAAAGCAATTATAGGGATCTGCAATCTTCGTGTATTTGGGCGGATAAACTCGATAAATACACTAAATTCAAATACATACATTGGTGGCAATTGAGTAGGGAAGTCGATAGCGTCGTTCAAAACATCAATTTTGTATATGACCAGCGCTGACCCCCCCCCGCTGCGCGGGGGTTCAGCGCTGGCCCTCCCGGGGGTTCCGCCGGTATTTATGAATTGCGCCTATTACTATCATTACTGCGTGAATTGGGACGCAGAGGTCGCGGTAATGATACCAGTGTGTCCATCTAAGGTTCACGGCGATGAAATCGGCAAAACGAAGACGTACATCGGCATCAGACCTATTTTTATGGCTCCAAGGAGGACGAGTTAAAGGGAGAAAGAAGAGAGACGATCATTCAATCCAAAAAAACATTAATGAAAACAATATAAAATTTTTACGGAATAAGTTTGCCATTTTTGAGGCTTGGTATATAATCAGCTCCCGCATCACCTGACTTTACTTTTCAATATGTGCCGATTTGGCTGGCTGCTTTTCAGCTCGATCCTATATGCCGTTTTTGCCGAAGATTGTACCGTAACCGATTACCAACTGGACCAGGTATTAAAAATACCTGCAATTACTGCCAACGTAAAATTTTAAAGTACGGAAGCGATGAGTTCCTAAAGAAAAGCGTGAAGGGCAACTGCGAAATGAGTAAGCCCTAGAAAGAGCAATGGTATTCAAATTTAAGTTTAGTCAATGCCTACAACGCAATGTTTGTTAAGGTATGGATTGTCAAGAATTCTTTTGATTCATCGTCAAGCTATAGCTGCAAGTACATTTTTAGCGCGTCGGCAAGTTCTGGTGCGGTATGGAAAAGTGGCAGCTTACGGACGATGTCGCTGAAGCGTTAAGCAAGTCGCTTTGCAGTGAGGCCACGGAAAGTGAGAATGTCCATAAAAATCAACTATATAGTCTGTAATTTGTAATACCCTTGGTATAACGATATTTTCCAGAATTCTTCAGTCGCGTCTGCTTCATTCACGACGTCTGTTATGAGAAGCTGCAGGACAGGAATCTGCTGATGGAGAAGAGGCATGAAATGTGTGATGAAGAGTAAATTTTTATAGGTTTTTTGAACACCATTTCTAGCGCGAGAAACCAACAACCTAATTTTTATCTAGTTTCTGCTATATCCTACTAGAGGCGGCTGCCAGGGACGCAGGAAAATGCGTCGACCTAGCTGTAACCTTCTGTAGGGCCGTTAAGGTGAGCTAGCACTGTTGATTTTTCGTTTTTTTTTATGGATTCTAGCGTCTGAGAAAATTTGTTTAGAGCCCTCTCTACGACGTGTTTGGCAAGAAGAAGCTCTTAAAAGCAAATTGAAGCACCAGTTATACAAAAGATATTACTTGGCATTAATAAAGCTTAAAACCGGAGAAAAATTTGTAGTGCAGGTAAAAAGCATTCTCTCTCTCTCTCTCTCTCTCTCTTTTCTCTCAATCTCTCTCTCTCTCTCTTGACCTAATTCACAAGGACCAATTGTCAAAGATCACCCACTCACGTGTGTCATGAAAAACCTGACAGAGCCTATTTTGAATGCGCTAGGTTTGCATGAATCACTTCCAACCAGCATTGTCTATTTTGTCATCCCAAAATGCGGCTGGTCCTCGTGATTTTACTAGCGCATTCTGTATCTACCTCCTACTCGGATAACTGTACCCTCTTTGATCTGCATCTTGATGAGGTCTCATTTTTGGAAGCGCACAAAGCCCTTCGTTTTCAGGACGGCTCCGACATCATCCTCGAGCAGCTCATACCGGATTGCCAAAAACGTAACATAATCGAGTCTTCGCTGAAAAAGTTGTGCTTTAGGAAACGAGCTGAACGGGGAGTACGCGAAGGCGGTCGCGCAAGGAAATTTCTACTGCGGGACCGACGAGAAGATGCTGCTGACGTGGACGACCCACGTGGCCCGGGCGCTTATGTGGGCATCGTGTGGTAGTATTAAAGGTATGTGGCAAGATTTTGTACAGTTTATGCTGAAGCGCGATCAAAATCGGCGCCATTTGGTGACACAAACATGCAAATTTATAAGGGCGGGAACACTGGTGTTGCGCTTTGGATGTTTTTAGGTACCTTCACTTCTCGAACTTGCCGCTCTCTATCGCTCCCTCGCTCTCCCCCGCTCTCTCTCTCTCTCTCTCTCTCTCTCTCTTTCTCTATTCTGGCTTTTCATAGTCCAACCATTGAAGCAAGCACTCAATATCCCATTCCAGACCGCTTCAATCGCATCTGCTTCATCCACGACGTCTGCTACGAGGCCAGGAGCCCGGAGACGGCCGCAGAGCAGAAACGCCACTGTGATGATAGGTAATTTAAAACTTTAAGACGCCATCACTATAACTTTTCTTTTCAGTTTTTGCGACTTGATGAGCACCGCCGTCAGCCATGCGCACTGGTGGCAGAAGCCGACCTGCTGGCTTGTTCAGAAGACTTTCTGCGCTGCCGTCAAGGTAATTCGAAAGCTGGAATTCTTGACTGAGCCTCATTTAACTTCTTCAACGGCTAAACGAACTTTAGGCAATCCCCTACGATCGTCTCCCCTCGCTGGCCCACTACATCATGGAGCGCCGAAAAATCAAGGCCAAACCTCTCTAGAATCTGATATTTTTTATGCATTGCATTTTTTTGTATTCTACTACATGTCTTATACTTGATAAACGGTTTGAGAGTTTAATTAAATCAATGGAAAAAAATACCTGAGTGTTTCTAGGTTTTCTATTTAAGATAGAAATTCAGAATTAATTATTGCAATTTAATGACACTTAATAAAATTAAGGGGATTTCTGAGGAATAATTTAATAAATTCCTTTAATTACGCACTAATGGATGCTTACATTATTGTTTCAAAATTTGTCAAACAGTCAAATGGGAAGTGTTTTTTTTCCGTGAGAAACGTATTTGTATACCGAAAAGTTTTTTATGCCTTGTTGGTACCTTAATTTCGATGTTTTTGAGCATGCCGCTATAAAACTCCCAAAATATAGAATTCTTTTATTAGAGCCATGCCACAAAAAGACAGGAATATTACCAAAAAGTAGGAGAATGGGCGTCTCTGAAAAACACCTTGGAACAGCCATTTCAACGGCAAAAATCGATGGTGTTGGAAAGGGGGATTTTTATCGTTTGTTGGGGCCCAATCATCAGTAGAAAATACTATAAATTTACACGAAAGGGGGAAGGGTTGAGCTGGTCGCAGAAGGCGCGTGGGGGGCGATTTCCAAAAAGTTTTTTTGGCATTAAAATGCACGAAAATTAAATTCCAAAAATGCGCACCATTTTTTTAAAATTTTGCTGCTTGTTTTTGACTAATTTTTTGGTGTGTCAATGGGGTTGAGATATCCGGGGAGAACGAGTTGACTATATTGGGTGGGTGGGTGGTGTGCTGTTGTTTGTGCGTGTGTGTGACTTTGGTGGAAGAAGCGGGAGAGGGGGGTTAAAGGGAGGGTGACAGGGGTTGAATTCGACCTGTCATCACCCCTTTAAAAGGCCCGAAGAAACGGACCAGATTGGCAGTGAAAGGGGGGATGGAGGGGAGAGGCTATATAGAAAATGGAAACATAAGTAATTGGGTGGTGTGTGGTGGATGGGGAAGTCGGATATGCTGAAGTCGGCTTGGCCTGGAGAAGCCAAGTCGGCGACTTTTGGGTTCCGCGACGGGAACTGTTGATTTAAGCTTGGCTGTCATCACCATCTCCATCATCAAGAGGACCTGGAAAATTGAGATAATTTTGATTTTCTGGTTTTGGCAAAATGCAGATTAGCCTGCTGGGGGCACATGCAAATGAATGAAGTGCAAAACATGCAATTAAGACAACCAAAACTCATTTAATTCCTCAAATCGAGCAAAATCAAGCAAATAAAAACCCCATGAAAATCGTAGTGCAAATTCTTCCAAAAATCGTGCAAAAATTTGCGCCTTCTCATGCAAAGCTCAAGCGAATGACAAGTCAAGCTTTTCCGCATACTTTCGTTTCAATACTCCAATTCGACGGGCCCGAGCTGGCCGTGAACTTTGCGCGTTGGGGCGTCATTTTCGGCATCAGAATCAGAATCTGACGACGATGAAGAGGACGAAGACGATGAAGAAGAAGAGGAAGAAGAAGATCGGCTCCTGTACGGAGCACCGTCTCCGGTGATTGCTAAAGGGGTTAGACTACACGGCACACCAATTAACAAAGAAATTAAGCTAAAAATTGTGGTTAAATGTTAGACTACACTTCACACCAAATAACGGAGGGGCTAAGGTGAAAAACGTTATTTCAATGTTAGACTACACAGCACAACAAATGATATCCAATCCACTTAAGCTAGGAAACTTAAAAAACCGAAGATATCCTGCTTTTCTTGTTAAGGGTTGGACTAAAAATGCTTACCTTCAATGTTGAGCGTGAGCTCGACGTTGGCCTCACCGGCGTCGTTCTTGATGTTGCAGGTGTAGGTGCCCGAGTCCTTGGCCTTGTAGTTCTAAAAAATAGTGATTTTTGATGACTTAACGAAGGATATTCCAAGCAGTCAAGAAAAACGCCAACCTTGAGTTCCAACGACGCGGTGAACGTGTTGGCGCCGCCGTCGGGGGAGGTGGTGAACTTGATTCGGGAGGACTCCTTCATCTTCTTGCCCTTGGGGTTCAACCAGATGACCTGAAAACAAGTATGAAAATCCCTTAAAAAATGGATACCTCAGGGTTGCGGTCAGCCTGGAAGCCAATGTCGAAGACGATGGCGGGATCTCCGGAATCAGAGGTCTTCTGCAGGATTTGGGGCTTTCGGGTGAAGGTGGGGGCACCCTGGGGAACTGGAAAAAGAAGACGTATTAATGATACCTTAGAATTAAATTTTTATATGAGGTTCCCAGGACCATTAACTCTACTTACCTTCGAACTTGACGGTGAAGGTTGCGGTAAGCTTTCCGGACTCGTTCTTTGCTGTGCAGACGAACTGGCCGGCGTCCTTCTCCTTCGTCGGCTCCTATAAATCAGGGTTAAAATCATATCTTAGTAATGTTCGGGGAATGTATAAATGCTTGACGCACCATATCGAAAGAACAAGTCCTACAAGCTGTAGATGACTGACCTTGATCTCAAGGGCGGCATAGTAGACCTGGTTGGCCTCTTCCCGGGTAACGATCTTGATGCGGTCGGACTCGGCGACGATCTCGTCTCCCTTTTGCCAGACGAAAGTCGGCTTCAGGATCGATTTGGCGCGGAACTCCATCACCATAACCTGGCCGTCATCGCGGGACGAGATCTGGGGCTTCTCGACGAAGGTCGGGGAGGAGAAGCCTGAAAGATCACTAGGTTTTGCAGATGTATGAGTATGATTTAGAAGAGCTCAATCAGCAGTTTTATGAGAGAGAGAGCGAGAGAGACAGAAAGTCAATGAGAGAGAGAGGCAATACCTCGTCTACTATTACTTACCGGTCAGCTTCAGGTTGAAGTTGGCGTTACCCTTGCCGTGTGGGTTGACGATGGCGCAACGGTAGGCTCCCGCGTCCGAGTCGGCCAAATCCTGCAAAAAACGTCCATTAACTTTCTTTTTGCAAACTCGATTCGGTACTTTTTCACTCATTACGATCCCATGAACTCTCAGCACACCCCATGTGTTGTGCCATAAAACATGGCTAGCCGCTTTGCTAGCCCCCCCTGCTCGGGCGAGAGTCGTGCTAATGATTGGCGCGGCGACATTACACACAGCAAAATGAGAAAGAGAGGGAGAGAGAAAGAGAGAAAGAGAGAAAGAGTGAAAGAGAGAGTGAGAGAAAGATGCTTTCGGAACGGCGACTCAAACGGCACTCGTCCATCACAAGCCTGTGGACGGGGAGTGCCCGCCCGGGGGCTATGGTCACTCGGAAAAGCCGGGGAAATTCGGCCAGGTATAAAATATGTGTTTTCTGTTGTAGCTATTTTTAGGTTAGATAATTTGACAAATACGCGCGTTCTTTCGCAATTTGTCTTTTTCCCAAAAAACACCTTGATCTGAAGGATGGCCGAGAAAGCGTCATTTCCCTTGTTCTGCAGCCGGAAGCTGAAGCGGTCGGTCTGCTTCAGCTCGTTCTGAAAAAAAGGAAATTGTTAAACAAAAAGAAAAATTCCATTCATTAAGATACATTAAATTATCGAAAACGTACGTTCTCATAGAACCACTTGATGTCGGGCTGGGGGTTGGCTTCCAGGAAGCACTCAAGCTCCAGGGACCTGGAAAAATTTTCAAGGTAACGGGGTATCATTTTTAGGCGATGTAATTCAGGTACTACAGACTAGAAACGACGGGGTTAAAGCAGCATAGTTTCAAAAATTTTGGAATCGAAATAAAGAAATTCGACGTAGCTTAAATATCAGAATGGTTTCGTTTATTTACAACCCGTAGGAAAATGGCTTCTATTTACATTAAGTAAATTCGTTAAAAAACTTCTTAAAACTCTTGACCTATTAATTAACCTTCAAAGGTCTTTAAAAAACGAACCCGTCGTCATTCTGCCTCGCAACGGGCTGCTGCGGGAAGTGAGGTGCCTTCGACATCTGCAAAATAGCAAATAATAGGAGGAATTCGGAATTCTAGGGAAGACAGATGCGGCGCTTCACGCGAATTAGAAGCCGAGAAACGAAGAAGAGTCATTGTTATGGCTAGAATCTCGACGAGGCAGGCAAGGGGCCCCCGTTCCTCGAAATTAGTATTGGAAAATGGGGCGGCCGATAGGGAGATGTGTCATCTCGGAAAAGAAGGGAGGATGGAGTGTAGGAGGGAGAAGAAAAGAAGACGAAGAAGCACAAATGAATCAGCCGCTCTATGTCAACAATTCAGACGGCAGGGTGGGGGCAGTTGTATGCTCGCGCCGTTTTTTTGTGTTAAATTTGGCTGAAGCCGCCGGATTTTAGGGAGTTTTTAGGCAGCCGATCGATCGATCAAAAACCGTGTAAAAGCGATCGATACGATTCAAAATTCCGATCAGTTTTAGAAGAAAAAACGGCGGGTCAAAAATTGATCTTCAAAAACCGCCGGATTGGCTTCGTTAAATTATCATGCCAGATTCTAAATAGAATTAGACGCGGTCTAATCAATTATATATCTCCATTAAAATCCATAAAATCAGGAAGATTAAAAAATTTTCGACGAGCTAAAATGCCGACAAAAAAAAATTGGTTATAAAACGTTAGCTAAAAAACATATAAACTTCATATTGCATAAAATTCGTTTCTCAAGGCTCGACTAGTTTCCTTCTAGCCTTTTTCTAGCCACCTGCCGGTTTCCCCGAGTTCATTAATCCACTTTTTCCGATCGAAAATCTATCGGGATCGACCAAAGGGCCCAGGCAGACAAGGCAAAGAATCGCATCCAGATGTGCCTGGGATGAGACGGGCGACCACCCGTTCAGCCAAAGTGTCTCCACACGGCAAAAAAATGAGGGGTCGGATGGGGGTGCCGCCGGGAATATAAACAGCTTGTTCCGCATGGGTTCAGGGGGGACGAGATGCGAGATAGTCAAAATATCAGATATTGTTAATATGGAATTTATGACGATAGCTGGGTAAACTCTAGCTGGTAACAGTTGATATCCAAGGCCCTACTTGGGCTGGGGGACAAGTGTTGTTTGTTGGGTCAAGTACTGTTGTGCCCTGAAGCTACAGGTTAGAGTACTTCTGCGCCAGCGGTTCTACAGAAAATTATGGTGGATTAATGTGTATTAAAAATCTATCTAGACACATAAAAATATCACCAAAATTTTCAATTTGCATAAAGGTTCGAAAATTTGATTTTCCATCGTTGTTTTTCAAAAATTCGGAGCAGCTAAGAGCCGAAACCCTATCCAAATACCGGCACTCGATCTCTGGTATGATACCTGAAGTTGGCTTCAAATATGAAGAAAGACGGATGTAAAGCTACGCCAGAGGACAATTAATTAACGCTGGAAATCTTATAGAATGGTAGATTACAGGAATAGAAAGTTTTACCAGCTTAGATCAACAACTTTTTAAGGTATTTTCCCCGTCCTAGCGAACGCAAAACATTAGCAAAGACAGATTTGATAGACCCGTGAAGGTGGCGCCGGCCAAAGAGGAGGAGCAGGCAAGGAGACCCAGCCAGCCAGGGCCAGAGCCCAAGGGCCCAAGGGCCCACAGGGAGGGGGTTACAACACGAACCAGGCGGCCCCCGCACCCCGCACATACACACAGACATACATACACCGACACATGGGCCCAAGAGAAGGAGAAGATGCCGAGGAGGAGGAGCAAGAGAACGCGGGGAGCACGACCAAAACGACGAGCACAACTCGAAGCTTGAGCGGGAAGAGGGGGATTAGATGGGTGTTCGGGGCTGCCTAATGCCCGTCCGGCACCTCTGGGACTCACACCTGGGCCTCGCAAGGGGGGAGGACCCAATTTTGAGGTTTGTAACTGGGATCCCGGATGTATGGAAATGGGCCTGAATATTGAGATCCTTTGAGGAATTTAGATAAAAACTGAAAATAAAGGATTTCGGATTTAGGTCTTTGGTACCGACATCCGTAATTTACTGCTATCCGGATGGATTCGAGGTATGGATGGTAGAAAAATTTGTTTAGCTGATGGGCGTGAAGCTATGATAAAGGGGCATTTAAAGGTGCGGTGAAGGCAGGGGTTCTATGGATTTTCGAAGGGGAAGGTGTCATCTTTTGATCTTAACTGGGCCAATTGCAGACAGTAAATCGGAGCTACGGTAATTTTTGGGAGTCCAACCAGAAAAGGCAATATAGACTTCTACCGTTTTTCGATTGGCGCTTCAAAATATGATCTTAGGAAACCTATCTGCCTTAATTTAGCGAAATTAAGGCAGATCTAAGTTTAAACCTAAGCTAATTTCGGACTTTAGAATCATCAATGTGCTAAAATTATATTTTAAAAATTAGTGTGTTGTTATCAAAAGGTAGAAAAACGAATGATTTGGACCCCTATCAGTTGCCCCACAGCGAAACTACAAACTTTTGCAACATTTTCACCAGTAAGAATCGTTTTCCCCGTTTTACTGTTGCCTACTTTTCTTTGTTTACAAGGTTTCCCTGTGATTTCCTCACTGCCCCTCACCCTCTTACCCCACGCTCACGACGGGAGGAGTTACACTGATTTTTGAGGCTTTTCTTGGGCTTTTCGGGAGGGCCTGTGCTCATTGTGAAGGGGGAGGGGTGTCCGGGTCTTGTTGCACCTAATGGCCAAGGTCTAGCGTTTTTCTGGTAGTATTCAGGCTGTAAAACCTTGCAAAATTTCAGAGTTTTAGATTTCAGCGGAACCTGAATTTTTGCTTGGTATCGAAACGGTCTGAAGGATGTAAAAGCGTACTTTTTTAATGAACAAAGCATAGAAAACGTGGGAAAATCGAAACATTTGGGAAAAAATGACTAACCGGATCCTGTTCGCTATCGGACATTCCCCGAAAGTGGAAATATTCAGAATGCCTCCTCCTCTAGCGGTTAGATAGTTACACTCGGCTCCTTGAATGATATTAGATGAGATATATCGCCTTCGAGTTTCCCCCTATCGAATCAGATCTCCCTGGCCGTCTTCTATTGACCCAACGGCACTCGAGGGGCACGGCTTTTGCCTGCTTGAAGCGCAGAGAAATCGTTGGGATATCAGAGGATTTCAGAGAGAATCCACGTCGGCATCATCAGTCTAGAGACCCAGCCCCTTGAATAAATTGATACAACGGGAGGCACGGGATCGGGGTGTGGTGGTGGTGGGGTGGGCTTTTTTTAGCTTCGGAAGAAGGTAGGGGTTTTTTTAAGGGGAAGACTTTAGTTTGCGGTGTTTAAGATTATTAAGTCCAACAAAAATGCTCAACAAGTTATAAGGATTTTTAATAACATCGAAGTGCATGGTAGTGCATCGAAGTGCATGATTCAAAACGACAGGAGGCTCAAAATGACGACCTCATCCACCGGAAGCCATAAGTATCAAGGTGTGAATGGAGGAGGTACGAGATGGCCCTCCATACAGACCAAACAATGAGTCAATTTGCCAGAACCCCCTCTTCCTCCCCCACAATCACCCCCCGAAATAGATACCAAGATAAGGGGCACCGGAAAGAAACACAAAAATATAGAAAAAGACCCGGGGTCCCCACTTGAAGCCTCGACAAGCCCGATCCGCCCCTCTTGATCCGAGACTGTTTGTAATTTTGAGAGAGGGGGACTGAGAGAGAGAAAGCGAGAGAGAGAGAAAGAGAGGGAGAGAGCAAGAGAGGTACTGTGAGTGCTAATTACCCTGCCGGATCCCGTATTTTATAGCCAAGACAAAACCCGACGAGAATTTATTAGATTCATTTGATCTCTCTAGCACTACTCCCTCACTATCACTTTCCATATCGCTCCGTCTCTCTCGATCGCTGTCTATTTCTAGCTCTCACTCCCTCTCTCTTTCTCGCCCTCTCTCTCCCTCTCTCTCGCCCAGCCATTTTTAAAAATACTCTCCACTTTTCGAGTGGCAACAGAGCAACAGATCTGTAAAGCCAAAGAAAGCCCCAGAGAAAAAGAGCAAATACCCCGCCTACCCCTCCCCCTCAGCCTCCTTTTGCCGGCTCCCGTTTTGCTAACAACGGTAGTAAGGAGGAGGGTAGCAGAACAACTGACGCTGCCTGTGAGGGCGGGTCTCTTGTGGGTCTGTGGGGGGAGTCCGACTCTCGGAAATTCGTCGACTATCACTCAAGCCAGGGGGACGGACGGAGGAGTGTACGGAGGAGCAGCTCGGATTGGTTAGGGGAGGGTGGAGGTGGTGGGGGATAGTACTAGGGAATTTATGCCCTGGCGTTTTGATTTGGAAGTTAGGACGGGATAAAGGATTATGTTGGTGTTAAAGGGACGCGCAAGGTATGGCTGTGGATTTTTCATCCGCGCCGCGCGACGCGAAGCAAGCTCTTGCCTTTAAGTTGCGTAAGCGATTAAGCCTCGTCCTGGCAGATAAACGTCACATAGCGCGGGGCGGCGAAATTTTGTGAGAATCTATAGCCAGCAAAATTCACATAAAAGCCTGCGCCAGCCTTTTAGGGTCCTTGAATCGCTCGATCAAGGTTAATTTTAAAAGTAAAAAATGTCACAAAAACACGGGCGAACTAGCAGAGACACTTAGAGAATTGGCTCCTTTAGATACTGTGGTGCAGTCATTACTTTTAGGTATATTTAAATCGCAGTACAAACCGCCCAAACCGATGAGAAAATTCATCCAAAAGCAAATTTTCGCTCATAAATTCTGCCCCCAAAAAATGGGGGCCCCCGAAAAACAATGTTGCGACGCGGAAAGCGCGGCCTACTAAAATTCACCACCAGCCCAATCCTCAGATGGCCCCCGACGATAAGTCGATTTCGATTAGCCCTCAAACCCCCTTGGAAAAAATCGAACCGCCGATGGTTGGGGTGGGCGGTGCACGGGGGGTTGTGTGCGGAAGGCGGCAAAAAACGGGAGGGGGATGGTGGATGTGTGCGTGGAGGGGAAGAAGGCTTTTTGTTTGTGAAGGCATCGGAAGACACACACACAAGGCAACAGACTTGCAAGCTTCACATCAATCAGTTCATCAAAAGGGAATTGTCAACAAGGGTGGAGGGTGTGGGGATTAGATGTCTGATGAGGGATGGGAAGGGGTGGCAGGTGAGCGCAACTTTGAACTTGGCGGAAAAGTATCGATGCCAGGTGTTTCCACTGCAAATTTTTAAAGGGCCTGTGACAGGTGATTCTGATACCGAGTACTACGTTGTGACATAGCTCCGATGCAATGGTTAGAATTTCCGCCGTACCTCATCAAGCCCAAATTTGCGCCAGGTGACAGGTGAAACACCACTATTTTTCGTCCAAAACGTATCAATAGTTTTTAACATCCATAAAAATGAATTATAAGAGGAGCCACAAGAAATTCCACAATGTCCCAACGCTGACAATGAGTCACAAAAACCACGGCGAAAAAATTGTTGTGTCTACGTTATTCATCTGAGAAAGCAGGCATCGGGGGAGGCATTCTCATATTGTTTTCGTAAATTCTAGATTCTGAATCATCGGAATTACACCTCGTGACACGTTCTAGGAAAATGGTAAGCACGTTTAGAAAAAAAATATCAGGGGCGAAAAAATATGGATCTGGATGCCAGCAAAATGACGAGACGATCTATTCCCAGCCACATGACATGATTTGAGTCGACCGCTATGAATTTTTACTGTCTCTGGGCCCTTAAAATTCGATTACGCAACGTAAATAATTGTAGCGATCTATCGATTAAGCTATGAAAATCAGATTACGCTAGGTAATTTAGCCCCAACGCACTAAACTAATAAGCAATGAATTCTACTGTCTATGGTTTTTGAAAGCCCGATTACGCTAGATAAATCAGTCCGAAGGTGCTACCCGATACGTTATTCAAAGAACTTTAAGGGACCGTACCAGGCAGAAAACCCAAAAATAGCCCTCTTCTACAAAAAACAACAGACAAATATAAACGATACGATAGGATACAAAAAGCAGTTGAGGGCTGGGGTCAAATGTTGCCGGGGGTCGAGGGCTGGGGCTGTTTGCGGATTTTGTGGTGGTGGTGGAAAGAGTGGGTGGTGTCGTCAAAAAAGAGACACACCAAGGCAGCAGGTCTCAAATTCTCGAGAGGATCGAACTGGCGACGCCTTTTTATGTTTTTATGGCCAACCAGAGAGGAGGGGAGGAGGACAAACTGACATCGAGAAGGGCTCATCCCCCTGGTGAGGGGGGGGATGGACACTCGTCTCTGAATGTGGCATAGATGGATTGTGGAAAAGTTAGAGTGTGTTGGAATCTGTTACCTTTTATTCCCCCATAAAATCCGATTACGCTAGTTAATAACGCTCAGGCAGGGACCGACCATTTTTATATCAGACTCACCGGATCCTTCCTCACGGCTGTGTTATGAAAGTGTTCCACATCTGTCGACGAGTCTGCTGCGGCGAGCATATTTTATTTGACGCGACTTTGAAAGACTTTTTGAGAAATATAACCCGTGAAATGGCCCGGGAAGTAGTGTGCCTGAAAATGGATTAGGTATACAGGGTGTCCCAAAAAAAAACCCCCCTCGGCATTTGGCCGTCTTCCATCCGATCAGGACCAAATTTTTACCGGTGATGGGGACCCATAAAAACTATGTGCAGCCGAATTTTCGAAGCAAAATATTGTAAAACAAAAAAATTTATATTGACATTAAGGTTTATTTTGCCGATTTCACTAGGATTTTGATGGTTTAGGGCCTCGAAATGTTTAGCAAAATGAAGAGGGCACTTTTTCCACCCGGAGGAATTTTTTGATTTACGAAAATTACGTCAAAATCGGGACTTTTCATCAACTTTTATTATCAAAACGAACAGAAACGGACCCGAAAATGACGATTTTTGGGATTACTCAAAATCGGCATGCTAATTGCGAAAACATAGCGAAAAATCGGTAATAGCGTTTCCCAAAAAGCAGTTTTTTAGCGATAACATTGTTGTGTTATAGTATTTTGTTTAGAAAATTCGGCTGCACATAGTTTTTATGGGTCCCCATCGCTGGTAAAAATTTGGTCCCGATGGGATAGAAGACGGCCAAATGCCGAGGGGGGGTTTTTTTTTGGGACACCCTGTACTTTGTGTGATGAGTTAGAAATGGCATGGAAAACATCAAGGGCAATGAATAACATAGGGTAACTACTATAACTTTTCTCGCTCGCTATCTCGCTCTGCCTCTCTCTCTCTCTCTCTCTCTCTCTCTCCCTCTTTCTCTCACAAAGCGACTATAAAGTACCCTTGATAAGGACGACAAGTACAGAGTTTTTCAAGGAAACAGTACCTTAAACTAATGCGTTTTAACTCTGCTTGACTTGACTCTTGACTGACTTGACTTTTTTTAGCTATTTAAACCAAAAAATCCAGTGATTATAAATGACTTATGGCTAGGTGCGGATTTTCACAAAATAGAGGCTCAAAACGCAAGCAACCGTACAAAGGTGAAAATATTGCACACGTCAAACGTGCATCAAGGCTCAACCATACATCAAAATGATTCAGCAATCGATTTATTAAGCAAAAGTACGCGAAAAAGCACAAGTTATGTCTGAAATGCACGAAAAAGCAAAATAACGGGTTGAGTAAACTTTCCAAGAGGATACAGAAATAGGGTTGCTCGTGACAAGTGCCTCGACAATCTTTTTGCCCGCTGTCTGTGCCTCTAACTGGCACAAATAGACGGGACCAGGTGATTCGGTCGGCAAATAGTGAATTAGGGAGGGGGTGGGGGTGGGAGCGTAGAAATTATCTTAAAGGGACTAGGAAGGCAAATTATGAGGGTTGTAAGGTTTTTGGCAGGCTGCCAAAGCCTCCTTAGAAATCGTACACTGTTTTCAAGGGATGTACAGAGAGAACGCTATGGAATTGGCGGCGACACGAAAATTTAATGTCAGCGTTCCATTGCGTAATCGATTACGCGGTTTTAGGGCGCAGAAGGCGTACGTGGAACTTACGCGTTCCGTCTCGCGGATACAGTAGGAGTTACATGAAATCTATCGCCCCATTTTGCCTTGCCGGTCCCTTTATCTCAAATTTTTTAAATTTTTAGAGGCAAATCTACGGAATTATCACGCATTAACAATATCACAAAGTTCAAGGCACAGTATCTATGAGTAATCGGGGAATTTGGAAAGGCTAGATCAAATTATTAGACGACCCTCTCCGAGGCCAATGTTGCAAAATCGTCTGGCTTCCGAAATAATCGAGGGCTTCCTCGGAATCCCCCCTATTCCGGGCCCTATTGATACAGCTGCAACAACCCGGCGCCGACGCCGTGCCCGTAGCCGCGCGGCCCGAATTGGCGCCCGTAGCACGCTGAAATGGGTGGGATTTGGAGCTTGGTGTAGTCTCATCTTGTAAGGAACGTTCGGTTAAAGGGTATCTACGGATTGTATCAATAGCAATTTTTAAGTATATGAGAATCTAATTGAGGCCTCTTCTGGTTAACTGCTTACGTTTATAACTTATAACTCACCATTGCAGTACAGCTTTCCGCCCTGCTCACATTGAGTTCGAGACTCCAGGCGCTTGTTGCAGTCACTACAGTTGAAGCAGCCGGACTTGTGCCATACCTAAAAAAAATGTTGAAGCTCACTTTTTTCGTCTAATTTCTATTTGAAGATATTGTGTGCATTTGAAGATGAAGGCCGGTGATTAACTTACCGCTCCGGCTGCCAAAACTTTCTCCGCTTCATATACGGTCTTCTGGCATTTTTTGCAGACCATCGGCCTCGGGGCCGCAACCGGGGCTCGAACCAACGGGATCGGGGCATCTTGCTAAATTTTTTCGAGGTATACTACCGTTTTCGAGTATCTATGGAGATTTAACAAGTTTTATAGATTTGGCCAAAAGTGGCGAACACGGAATTATAGTCCTATCAAAACCTGTAACACGCACTCTGCGGTCGCTAATCCGATAACGGCAACCGGTGCCATATGACCAACATAAAAACCGGGGGTACAATCAGCTGATCGGGAATGGCAGGTAGAGGCAAAAACATATGCTGAGAATGGAAACAACCCTGGGTGAAAAAGGCAACGGAGCGCGATGGAAATTGGGAATTTGAGGGCGAACAGGTCCCGACGTCTCTCAATTTCTACGAGTCAAAAGAATATCAAACTAAAAATGCAACAAATACTAAAGGTTTTGTAGATTACGCCGATTCAACGCGCTGCGACGCCTAAAAATTACATAAATTTGTGAGGAAATATTTTAAAACGGAATGCAACAATATTTAAAACGCACCAATCATTATAAAAGGATAGAAAAAAATCATAGATAGACCAGAACGAATTGCGAAAAATTCGAGTTTTCATGGTGAAATCGGTTAGCTCTTTTGTCATTTTCTATCAGCTGAAATCCGCGTGAATCCAAAATACACAAGACATCCGAGAATCTTTGCTATTCTGCCTAGTCCCAAGCTATACAAAACGCACTACATACTATGAAAAATGCACTGAAAAGATCAGATCAAACCGCCAAAAAATCACCCTCCTATGCGTGACGTGGTGCTTTGCGAGCCCGGAAATGGGGCCGAAATCGAAATTTCCGAGGATTTCAAAGAGAGGACTGGGGTTAGGGGTCGACGTGGGAAAAGGGTAGCCGCGAGGGATTCTGGTCATAGAGGGCACAAAATAGAGAGCCGATAGGGAGGGCCCAGGCGGAAAACGTAAGGCGAAAAATACGTCCAGAATAAGGGAGGAGAAGGCGTTGGGGCGAATGCATTGGCATTTATGGGGGTGAGGAATTGGAATTGCTGAGTTGGAGTGTAAATAATAGGGGTTCGAATTTTGGTCTTTTGATTTTTTTAGAGATCAAAACGCCACGGTTCGTAATTTAGACACTTGAAATTGCTAATATGTAAATAGATGCTAATTACAAAGTTTATTTGTCTTGTAAAGTTTATTTTTGGTTCTAACAGTTAATGAAACCCAAATACAACATTATCGCCCAATATTTTTTGGCGAAATAACTCAATGAAACTATCACAAAGCTAGCGCCTAATTTCCTCGCGTAATCGGTTCGAAAATGCTCCCCAGCTACCCAAAGTTGTGTGCAAAAATGGAAAAAGAAAAATACTCTTAGAAAGGGAATTAATGACGAAACATACTCTAAAAGCTACTATAGCTTGAAAACCGCAGAATTCTATCCCCTTCCCGCCTCCACCATCGATTCGGCCGGCTAATCTCCGGGGCACGGGGGCAGTTTTTGCAACCCAAAAAATGTGGCCCGGCGCAGTGAAAATGAGTCAGAAATTGAGGCAAATACAAGCGTTTAATAGGGATTCGCGACAAAGCAAAAAAATATGAAAATTACCTTAATAACTGTGCGCACCACCGGCTGTTCGATGCGTTGCGTTTGAATGTGAGCGACTCCCGCCACCGGTGGGTGCAGGGGTTGATAAACTAAAAATGACAAAAAATCATACAGGAAGATACTAAAACAACCTACACTGTTGTTGTATCGGCGATTTTTCGTACCTCACGGCGTTATTAACGGCATTAACCGGCTGAAGGTCTATATAAAGTTTTTATAGATTTCGACTTACCTTTCGGATATAATCGTCATCGTTCGTACCATAGCTGATCGTGGATGTGAAGGGCAACATTTTGTCATGTTGATTTGGCTGCTACAAAAGGTTAAATTAGAATTTTACACAGCCAATTTCCATAGCAAGTTCGCATGCTACAAAGCCCTGTCGTTCTCTGGGGGCATGGGGGGACCCCAACGACAAGACCCCCTTCCCGCACCACCCAACCCCGTGCAGCGATGTCCGAGTGGTTAAGGAGATTGACTAGAAATCAATTGGGCTCTGCCCGCGTAGGTTCGAATCCTGCTCGCTGCGAACTTTTTGCTTTTGGCTGAAAATCTTAGGAATAGG